AGACAATTTGGATAAATTTAATTTATCTGATCAAAATCAACAAAGGAGTCTGTAATGGTTAATTTTATTGTGTCAACTTGACTGGGCCATGGGGTACTCAGATGTTTCGTCAATATTCTGGGATTTCTGCAAGGGTGTTTTTAGATGACAGTAACACCTAAATTGGTAGAATGAATAAAGGTAATTGATGAGCACACATGTGTATAGAGGGAAGTAAAACTCAATGGAAATCAAGTAGGAGGGAGGTGGAGGAGGGGATGGGAGAAAACATACCTAAGGGGTACAGTGAACACTGTGTGGGTGATGGGCACACTTTTAACCTTGACTCAAGAACTATGAAAGCAATACATGCTACCAAAAGCATTTGTACCCCTGTAGTACTTTGAATTAAGGGAAAAAAAAGAAAAGACAAAAAGAAAAATTTTTACATTTAAAATTAAAAAAAATAAATAACATATTGCCCTTCCTAATGTGAATTACTCTCCAAAATGCCTTCCCCATCAGCTGAAGGCCTGAATACAACACAAAGCCTGACACTCCCCTAAATAAGAGGGAACTCTTCAAGCCTGCTTGCCTTCCAGCTGGGACATCAGCATTTTATCTACCTTTGGACTCAAAATGAAACATCAACTCTTCCGGGATCTTGAGACTACTTTCAGACTGGAATTACACAGGCTCTCCTGGCTCTCAGTCCATTGTACTCAGACTGCAGCTTACACCACCAGCTTTCCCGGGTCTGCAGCTTACTGACTTACCCTGCAGATCTTGGGACTTGTTAGCCTCCATAATTGTGTGACCCAACACCTTACAATGAATAAATGGACAAAGCTTTGCTGCCTAAGGCATCTCCCAGCCACATAGCATAGTAGGCATTCTGTAATAACTTATGAATTAATTGATCAATGCAATTCAATTCAATCTAACAGTTGTTGAGTATCTACTCTGTGTCCGGCGCCATACCTGACCACTGGAAATGCAAATCTCTTATTGGTTCTGTTTCTCTCAGGGACCCTAAATAATAAAGATATATAACCAGTTCAATACATCTTTAATTACTCGAGAATGATGGACAAATAGGATCCAAGGAACTATTTCATTTTATACATTTTTGTTAGTAAGATTCAAATTTTATTCCCCAAATAGAGAAAAGGGAAAACATGCAAATAAGTTAGTTTCATTTATATAAACATATTTTGTATTTATTCTATATCAATTGCTCTTCCTATATTTTTAGTTTGTTGGAATAGCTGAATTTAAAAATGAAATAAAAGTTGATTTTATTATTATTAATTGGCTGAAGGTTTGTTGGAATTTGAATTGCCTGGATTCTTTTGAAATTTTCTAACTTAAGGCCCATTTTCACACATTTTCAGAGGACATTAAAATCATCCGAGTGCAACTGGTTAAACACGTTGTTTATCTACACATGATTTTAGATGGCTGATGTAAACACTTTTCCAACAGTTTTAGGACAATTCTCATAAAGGAAAGCACTGCTCTGATCATTTCAGATTTGATCACCTTTCCTTTTGTGGGGTGAAAGGATTAAAGTTTTTGAGCACCTACCCTATTCCACTAACTATATTGAGTACTACGGAGTGATCCCTCTCATTAATTAAGCCAAAGCTTGGCAAATGTTTTACCTTTCAAGTTTTTATTCAACGAACTTGAAATGTTTCACAAAAAAATCTTCGTTATCCAAGGCATTTCTGAGGAACACAGTATAGTAGGTATTCTGTAATAATTCATGAATTAATTGATCAGTTTAATTTCACCTAGACAGTTATTGAGTATCTACTCTGTGCCTGGCACTGGAATGCTAATACGAATCAAATGGAATACCCACTCCAAGGACCTTGAAGTCTAGTGGAAGAGTTAGATGTGTGAAAATAAGGTCCAATTAAGTACAGAAAGTACTATAGATATAGGGAGGAAAGTACCTTGGAAACAAAGAACAAAATAATATACTCTTGTTGGGCTTCATCTAGAAATGTGGAACTTTTACAGGAGAAGGAATGGGCTTTCTAACAAAGGACAGTGAGATAATGAAAATACAATTTTAGTGAAACAGAGTAGGTGGCTAAAGATGGTGGTCATTTCAGTGTGACTGGAAGGGAAGTTAGGTGGAAGTGGAGGGAGATGAAATTGCAATGTTAAAATGGATTGAGTTTGTGAAGGATTTTAAATATTAAGCTAAAGAATTTGATCTTCATAATGGAGATGAGCAACATTTCAAACTTTGATTTTGGTTAGCTTTGATTTTAGAAAGGTAAATGTCTAGTAACAAAGTGTCACACTGCTTTAAGCAGTGTTCATATACTATTTTGTTAGCTGTTTCTAACAAACACATGATAGAAATACTATTATCATTTCCTTTTTAAAAAAATGTTGAAGGAAATGAGCCTTACAAAGTTTCAGTATCCTGCCTCATTCATGATAGACAAGCTCCAAAGCCAGGTCTGGAAAGCTATTAACCTCTACAACATCAGTTTTATTCCAAGTTTCTAAGCTGGATTTTATTGTCAAATAAACCCTCATGGCCAGTAAGGAAGGTTCAGATATTCTCTGGGTGTCATATTTCTTATACAGCAGAATATTATAGGTCAGAATTAGACTTAAAAGTCTCTAAATTATCACTAACTGAGCAGTATCCAATAATATGTTAGTCTGAAGACAGAACTGAGTCAATCAACTAGTGGATTTTAAAATATCTGATCATTAACTGGAGCTAACAGCTAATTTCATTTACTCCAAGCTTATTTTTCTATCTTTGCTCAGTAAGAGGAACTCAGGAAACTGTCTCATAAATGAAATAATACTCCAATTGATATAGAGATGCTACATGCAAGAAAGAACATAGAGGTGGGTAAAAAGGAAGGCACTGGAGATAAATTATGGATTTCAATTCTCAATAATAGTTTGTCCTGGAGTCACACATTTAAGATTTCTCACTATCCATTTGCTTATTGCAAAATGAATACAACATTACTCATGCTGTAAACTTCTACATGCTTAGTGTGAAGAGCATGTGGAATCAAGTATGTGAAATTGCCTTGTAAACTTTTGGTCCCCTGGAAGCATTTCCTTTCATCATCATGATAACCCTTTGATTAAAATCCACTTTCAACCACTGAAAGTAGCTTCTACACACTTCAGTTTGATGTTGAGATTGAACTACCTTATTTGAAAAAGATCCGAAATGATCTTCAAAATGCGTACAAAGTACCACACGTGTTTATACATAGTATCAACATAGGAAGATTGAGTACTTATTTGAGGCTGTGCCAAACTGTATCTGACAAAGCCACCCTTAGACTTCACAAGGCATCAACTCTCCCTGTGAGGGTATAAAAAAAAGAACTCTTTTGTAGCGCAGGAAAGCAGAATTAAAAATGGAAACAGCCAGGGACCTTTTATGTGTGTGTGTGTGGTGGTGGTGGGAGGGCTCTAATGACACAGAAGTGAAAAAAATTTAAGGATAGTGATCATAATCTAATTAAGGTCTGTAATTACAAATCCAGTGCATTTAATAAGCAAAAAGGCATTTAGTTATTTCAGCAAAATCAACCTTTTGAAGTAGCTGAAAAGTCTATGAAAACCATCTTAATTTAATAACTGAGTCAAAGAATCCAAGAAGTGGAAAAACTTGTTAGTGTATTCCTGAAAACCTTTTAGTTAATGAGTTAGTAAACCCAGATAGAGAAAATGTATTCCAAAATAAATACTTAAAAGAAAATAAAAATATTTTGAAAATGTAAACACATGAACTTTGAAGGTTGGGAAACAAAAATATATATTTGAATTGATGGAAAAACATAAAAGCAAGATAAAATGTTTTATAGGGTAGCACAGACAGAGCACTGGAAATTGATGTATATTTGAACTCTAGTTCCAACCTTGCCACAAACCAATGTGGGGCCTGGGGCAAGTGGGTCATCCTATAGACAAGTAAAATGAGGAGATTGAAATAGATAACAACTAAGATTATTGTGATTTTGTGATTCTAAGCAAAACTAGAATAAAACATTACCTGCCCATAAAAACTAACAACACATCTTGTTGTTTGTTGATGTGTTCTCAAAGATGCTGAGGTTTTCTTCACTCAAAAATCACACCCATCTCTCACCATTGTTCTGAATGCTTTGAAGGGGACGCATTAGTTTGCTCATGCTGCCATAGTAAAACACCACACAGAGTGTGGCTCGCACAGCACAAATTTATTTTCTCATAGTTTTAAAAGGCTGGAAGTCCAAGATAAAGATATAAGGAGGTATGATTTCGCTGGAGCTCTTTCTCTTCACTTGCAAATTATGGCCCTCTCACCATCTCCTGACATGGCCTCCTTAGTGTGTGCAATGTCCACCCCCAGTGTTTCTCTGCAAATCCTAATCTGCTCTTCCTATAAGGACACCAGTTGGATGAAATTCAGGCTCACCCTAATGGCCTCATTTTAACTTCATTGCCTCTTGTGAGGCCCCATCGACAGATGTAGTCACATTTTGAGACACTTGAGGTTAGGGCTTCAATATGTCAATTTTGTGGGGACACAATTCAGTCCATAAAGAGGACAAAGTTTTTTCTTTCCCTCTACAATAAGAAAGTACCATTCTTTTATGTACATGGTAGTTAGGTCCATAGTAGTGGGGAGATGCATCCACACAGATTGTGCATATTTTGGGCAGGGGAGGGCAAGAAACATCGAGGAATGGAAGGTGTGGCACTGAAGGAATTGGAAAGAAAGACTGAAAACAGGGAAATAAAAACTGCTGACTACATACTTCAGAGATAGCCAATGACCAAAAGACTGAAAGTCACGTCAACTCTATCTGCAAAGAAGGCAAACTTGGCTGTCTCAAGGACAAGTTTGGGGGTCTAAATTTAAGAATTTTTAAAAACACAAAGAAAAAGAAAGGTTGCAAGAAAAAGAGGCAAAGAAAGAGAGAAAAAGGAAAGGAGAGCAAATAAAAGTTTAATTGAAAGAAAACATACACAGGTAACAAAATAGCTCTCCAATTGTCTTAGTCTGCTTGGGCTGCAATAATAAAATACCACAGACTGGGTGTGTTCAACAACATTCATTTTCTCACAGTCTGGAGGCTGAAAGTCTGCAATCCAGGTGCATCATGGTTGGCTTCTGGTGAGAGCCCTCTTCCTGACTTGCAGACCAGAAACAACAGTTCTCTGTGTGCTGAAATGGCCTTTCCTTGATGTACGCTTCTGGGGAGAAAGATCTCGCTCTTTTCCTCTTTTTATGAGGTTACCAATCCTACTGGATTAGGACTCCATCCTTATGACTGCACTTAACTTTATGTCCTAACAGCCTTATCTCCAAATACTGTCACATTGGGGGCTCGGGCTTCAACATATAAATTGAGGGGTGGGATTCATGACACCAGTATTGCTGATTTAAAAGCTATCTAAAAAATTACTAAACTTTTCCAATAGATTGCCTTCTTCCTGGTGTTCCAGTTATAGAGACAGATGGAAAGGGCTTTTGTTGTTGTTGTTGTTGTTGTTGTTGTTTTTAAGGCAGCTTTGAGTAAAGACCTGGTGGAGGGGGAAGCTGAATCAGTAATGCCCTGCACAAGTGAAATTGATCTTCACAGAATAGAAGGAGATAGAAGTATTCATGCTTTAACTCAAGATTGCAGTTAGTTTGAGGGTTGCTTGCAGTTTGGTTGTTAATTTACCAATCCACCTTTAGATAGAAGCCAGCTTTAACCTGAAATTTCAAACAAGAGCAAATTAGTCATTTTCCCAAGGAGCATAAACAAACACAGGACAATCTGATTTACTTTGTTTGTAAAGGAAACCAAGGAAATAGGTTCTACACAGCTTTATATTTCCTCAATTTCTGAAACTTTTCCTTGGTAGGAGGCTAGTGATGAAGAAAGCAGTCAAGTATAATCATTCTCTATTTCCACTTTCTCTATTCTTCCATTATTTAACCCCTGGTTTTCTAAACTAGAGATATCTATATGTGTCGAATACTCTACAAGAACCAAACAGGTTAAATTAGGAGATATTTCTATTTACTATAAATGCCACGGGTCCAAAAGTATGCAGTTTATGCAGTGGCTGAGTGACATTAACTTTGGGACCAACTTTAAGCAATTCCTGGGTCTGTCATTTATTTGCTATTGACCTTAGTCAAGTAACTCTTCGTTTCCTTAGCCATAAATTAGACACAGTAACAGTACCTGATTCAGAGGGTTGTTACGAGGATTAAATTAGATACTAACCTTACAAGAAATGTCAGGCACTTGACAAAACATTAGTTGCTCCACTATTACTATTACTACAATAACTACGACTACTACTACCATTATTGTTACTATTTGACATTATAAAGGAAATTTACCTCCATTAGGTTTATTCTGATGGCCCCATATGAATCTATAAGGATTTCTCTAATTCTATCTTTACGTCCGGCAGTATGTAAGACACTTCATGAGAAAGAAAAGAAATGTAAACCATGTTTCCTGCCATCAGTGGGCTAAGCATCTAGCTAGTGAAATCATGATAAATTGTTCCCAAAGGGCTTTGGAAAAGGAAATTGAAGCCTATATAGAACTTAAACATGTTGTTCAAGGTCTCAAAGCAAAGAGCAGCAGAGCTGACACCAGAGTTCAGTCACCGGATTGGAACACTAAGCTCACCCCTCTATGCCCTGTGTGTGCCCTAAGCACCCCATAATCCCCATGGGAAAGAGTGTAACTGTGCCAAATGGTGTCAGAGTTATGACAGCCACCAGGAGACAAACCAGGCCAGTGAACTCTGGCTTCATTAGTGCTGGACGCTCACCAGTTCGACCCACAATTTCTCCACAGCCGCGGTCCCAAAGTACTGCAAAATGCAATGGCTATTGTGGAGAACAGTCCATGGGACCATGTTATTTTTGGTTTCTTTCCCAGAGACAATGCTTCTTCCTTACTGTCAAGTACAAGTCAGGCTGAGGAAGTTGTCACTGGTACAGAGGATTTTAAACTTGTCCACAATAGGAATGCCCCGCATTTCCAAATTTACTCAAAGTGCTTGTCGCAATATGCACAAGGTAGAGACTGGGTGAGACCTAGCTTGAGAGGTTAAATAAAGGTAAAAGTTTAAGTTTCCATACATACCAGAGATGCCACTGCAGTGTGTTTCATGACTTTCCGGAGAATGAATTAGTAAAAGAAGCAATCACTATACTGTAATTTTTGTGTTATATTTGTACATTCCACACTCTAACTTCCACCTATAAACACAAAGGAAATCATAAGCACAGTTAATGACATATTATATGTAAGTCCTGTGTTTCCTAAAGGACATTCCCCAAGGCAGTTGTTCAAAGGGAATCTGGAATTTTCCATCAGAAATCATTCTGGTTCTTAATAATGATCTCGCATGACATGCATTCCTGGTTGTTTCTTTCTTTCTTTCTTTTTTTTTTTTTTTTTTTTGGTACATCTTGCACTTTCCATAGTATAGGAAAGGCTATTTCTACAGGGCTTGAACTACAGTCTCAGACGTGCAGCATAATCCTAGGAGGTTAGTAAGAGATCTTCTGATGGAATGCATTTGATCTGTAACATTGCCTGGCCAAAAGACATCCATAGCCGGATTTCAGGAGCAAGGCCAAGGCCTGCTCAGCATCAGAACAAACCAGAACTCAGAGCCCTCTGTCCCTTCCCATTTGTTCCATGCAGGATAAATCACATACCCCAACCACAGTTAGGACCACAGTTTATTAACTATCTTTTCCCTCCTAGGCAAAACTCACAGTTGAATGTGATAAATAACTGCCAATGTGACATATTTTAAACATCCAGGAGATTTCACAGTTTCTCAAAGAGAGTAAATTTTTGAGTTGGTTTTCCTTTGTAAACTTAGGTTGAAGTATTTGTCTTTGCCCATTAAGCATCCTAGACTATTGGGTGTTGCGGACCAGCTTGGGGGAGGCCTTGAACAATTGGGTCTCTACTTTAAAAAGAGTCCTTTATTTGCTTCAAAAATGCCTTTCTAACTATTAAAAAGCTAAAACCTCTCTCTCTGTCTCAATGTATTTCTTTAAAATATCTCACGGAAATCCTAGAGTTCTTTTTTCTCCCTTTCTGAAATAATTCAATTATAATTGTTGAGGAGAATGCCCTAGAATGAAAGAAGCAGCCTAGGCATTAAACTCTTTGAGTTATTCAAATAATGAAGCAAATGTATTAAATAGTTGAAAGTGAGAAAAAATCATGTTTGTGATAATTGCTAACGGAACACTATTTTTTCCTGCTGACCCTAAATCATCACTTTATGTATACAGCCAGATTACATAGGTTCTTATCTTATGTGAATTTTTTCTTATCTTCCTTAATTTCTCTGTAAACAAAATGAGAATAATAATGGTATTTGCTTTATTGGCTACGATGAAAACTAAGTTGTTAACAAAGTGACTATAATCAACAATAAGTTATGGTATACTTTAAAATACCTAGAATAGTGGAATTGGAATGTTCCTAACACAAGAACTGATAAATGCCTGAGGTGATGGATACCCCAATTACCCTGATTTGATTATACACATTGTATACCTGAATCAAAATGTTACATGTACCCTATAGACATATGCAACTATCATGTACCCATAATAATTAAAAGTAAAAAATTTAAAAAATTAAAAATAAAAATTTCCAAAACTATGTTAACACATGTATAGCACCAAATGACTCAGTAAATATTAGATTTATTGTTAATAGTTGTAATGTTCTTGGTTACCTTCAAAAATCTAAACTTAACAAATTATATTGTTCTCCTAAATCTGTACCTCTGTGTATCTTAGTCATATTGTTGTAGAATATTTGCATTCCCTGTAAGGTCCACAGCAGGCCAGTTCTGGCACCTGGTTTCTAATAAAACTCACTCTTTTGCTCTATTAAGCACATTATCACTATATTTTGTACTTTTTGTACATGTAATAGTATCCTTGCTTGGTATGTGATCTCCTAAAAGGCCTTCCTTCATCTGAGAAACTACCTGCTTCCTTTTTTAGGTATATGTTCATATCAGGTAAGAAAAATTAAATGCATGATATTTTTTGCTAAAAGATTACTTATCTATATATTGTTTATAAAAATCTGCTTTAAAAAAGAACAGCATCAATAAACTTCTTTGACTATAAGAGCAGATAAACTTGGGACATAGCTAGATCAGGATCTGTATATCTTTGTATGTTCAGATGTAGGTTGAATTGAACTGGAGATGCAGTCCAGGTACTGACAGGAAATGGGTATAAACCAAAAGGGGCAATAAAGGAGAGATGGATGGTAGGTCTATTTAGAACCCATGGGCAGGGGTTTGGGAACCAACAAGAGATGATACAGCAAGAATAAGATTGTTCTTATCCATCTCAACATGAAGAAGCAGAGGGAGGAACAGCATCTGGAGCCCAAAGTAATGCCCATAGGAGAAGTCTGCAGGACAGAGCTGTGGCCCTTCAGCCACTGCCAACCTGCTACCATGCCCAGCAGGAACTGAGGTCATCAACACCCCACACTCTCTTCTTCCACTCTCCACACCCTGCCAGGGCTTCTCACTGACCAAATGCAAACAGACCTCAAAATCCAAAGAGGTTTAGATGATGCAACCCCTAAGGCCAGCTCCTCCAGAAGTCAGAGTAAGGTAAAAAGGGGAACAGGGTATCTGAAGGTGCAAATATCCTGTGAAGTCATTTTTGTAAATGTTTCCCAGCTTTCTAAGAATCTCTACCAGATCAGGGGTTCAGGTTGTTTGCATTAACATTGACAGAAAAAGGAAACTAGTTACTTTTTGTATTTAAAAGGGTTTTGTTGATTCATATGAAAGAGAATTTGTATTAAACTTTAGAATATTGCCCTCCTACATGGTTCGGATCCTTTATTACTTTTGACTGAAAAGACATATATTCTCACTAGTTTAGTTGTTCCTCTTTTCAAACAGTGGTCTTCTAAATCTTTTGGCTATAAACTCTATCAATTAAAAAAAACTGAGCACGGCAATCCCAATATAGGTGTACTTAATAAATTACATATATGTGTGTATCAATATGTTTTCTGTTCTACTATATCATATGTTATGAAATACATAAAACTAGAAACTAGTGACAGATGAAACGAAAGAAACACAGAGTGTAATATTTTCTTCCCACACTGCAGTGTTCATTTTATGCATTTCACTCACAACACTGGAGTTTCCCTCACTCCTGGGAGCCCTTAAAGAAATCTGTGATTCCACATTCAATCCAATAGCCATTTTAACCACAGAATTGCTCTGTTCATTAAATATTTTAGTGGCGAGGCTATTAAGAGAGAGCATATACACCAAAATTAGGTGTATTTCTAACCATTCAAAAGGTGCAGAGCAAGTAACTTGCACTGAGAAATGAGTTCAGCCATTGCAAAGTGTAGTCAGCACGCACTTCACAGTGACCCTATGAAACACGTCTCCAGTTTTCAAAATAGGAAACTGAGTCACAGAATATTTTAGTAAGCTATTCCAGATGATTTTTCTTTGTCATAAAACCCAGGTTTCCTGGGTCCTATTTGAACATTCACTTTCAAGGTTATGAGGCTTCCTGCTTAGTTTTTCTTAGCAGTTTCCTATAGAAGAAATTTATGGAGTAAACCATCATTTGCTCCACATAATGGTCTCTCTGGGAAAGCTATGTCAGGGTTCCTAAGAGGAATGATTTGCTCAGAGAATTTGCTCAGAGAATGCTCAGCTAAGTGCCTGATGCATATTTGGCCTGTTGGTTTCTGCTTTTTCTGCTATAGTTGAGAAATTCCAGCAGCGCTGGCCTCTGAGCCCTTTGAGCCAGGGGCTGAGATTATCATTGCTTTTCCCCCAACACCTGACAGAATGGCTAGCAATACAGATTCCCTGCAAAATGGTCAAACGAATAAATGTTTACTCCACCGAAACATAAACTTGTGTGTCTTCGAGGCAGTGGCAAATTTAGAAATCAGAATTAGGGATATACCTCATAGTTTTGAAAATACATAAAATTTTAAAAAGATATCATGATCTTTAAAAATCATGAAAACTACCTCAAAAGTATCCCCTATAGTTAATTGCAACAAAGGGAAAGAATTCTTGGCCAGAAAGTCCACCTCATTCACAGCTTTCAACAGTTAACAAGGTACAGTTCAATTCCATTTTGCCCCCAACTCTTTCTCATTAAGCTTGGCTCAAATTCAAGCCCCCTGAGCCCCTCCTACTGTCCCTGAATGGTCCCGATGTTTCACTTCACTAAAGAAGAGATTAATTTGTAGAAAGGCTTCAGCACATTCCTGGGTTGCTCAAGTGCACTTCTTTTCATAGAACAGGCTTTTGATTTTGCGCTTTAAATCAAAGGCACAGAGCAAAAATTCCAAGTATGTATGAGCTTCCGACCTTTAAAAAAACAGGATTGTTCAGATGGAATTTGACACAGAAATGCTCTACTCCATTACCCTTGTTAGTCTGATTCTTCCTCAAGATACACCCTTTCTTCTTTCTGCTAAATATCAGCTTTTCAATCAATCTGGTGTTTGGCAAAGCATTAAAGATAAGTGAAGAGTTCAGTATTAGTAATTTATTCATATGGACATTTTAGGGGATTCATGTCATTGGAAAAGACAGTGGCTCCAGTTAGAAAACTAGTTTGGCAGAAAATATATTAATGCACTATTTTCTGCACAGTGGGAGAAAATGTGTTTATTTGGACATTGCGGCACTGTGAACAAAAACTATGGAATTTGGAAAAATCATTTTTGGGAATTTGTACAAACTTCTGAGTAAGAGACAGAAAGGTAAGCATGGAAAACATCAAATACTTGTAGTGATGCTTTTGAAAGATTGTTTTAAACCACCCTTGAAGCTCCCTCATTTTACTATTTCTATTTTTTTTTTACTTATTGATATAGTTGTATCTAAAGCCTGTGTAAGCAAAACAAAGCAGTCTAGTCACAAGAGAGGCCAGGCCCTACCTCATGTGGGGTGGAGGTGTTGCTTTGAGCTTGTATAGAATATCTGTTAAATAAAACACCAGGTCATCCTTCTCCTTTGGTCTGTATTTATTCTCTCTCTCTCCCCTTGATTAACAATTTAAGAGTGAAAACTAGTTGTGATAGGTTAGACACTTAATGCAATGATTGCTCCAGTTACAGAATTATTAATATTTACCCCTCAATATTCAACAGATTATTTTAGGGAAAGATAGGGTCACCATAATTGTGCAGGACTTCTGATTGA